ATTATTAGCAATCGTGTTGGCTACAAAAAGACTAAGACAATATTTATTGGGACGGACCTTTACTATTCAGACAGATCATAAAGCATTAATTTGGTTACATCATTTAAAAGATCCTAGTTCAAAATAATTAAGATGGAGATTACGCTTAGAAGAGTTCGAATATGATATAGAATATGTTAAAGGAAAAGAAAATGAAGCAGCTGACTGCCTATCAAGATTATTTCCAATACAAGACGAGGACAGCGAAAAAGCCACATCAGCAGAAAGATCAGAAGACAATGAACTTAATTCAACACAAAATGTAAACTACGATTTACCACTCGACATAAATGAAGTTAACAATCACAAATTTAAATTAATTGTTTAAAACAATATGTAAATCTTTGAGTAGAAAAATTAGGACTAATATGTGTAACAATAAAATGAGTAATGTTGACGTCGTTATATTCTACGAAAGACAACCACATCAAAATTTGAAGTACATATTAAACCTTATTTAAATAAAAATTTAAAACTTAGGTTTTAGGGACTAAATCCTATCTAGCGAGAGGGATGTTATAGTCAGCAAAAATATATATCCCCACCTGTATTGTTTCATATTCAACATGAGCTGCAAAACGTATTTGCAACTCAGTCTTATTCCTGCCTTTAAAGTGTAATATTGAGTATTATAATAAATTGTCACTCTCAGAAGTGATAAAAAGTAAACTGTGTCTATTTTATAAATTAGACCGTAATAAAGCTAATAAAAAATATTTTTTATGATTTTTTAATTCTTATTGTTTTAAAAACAAAAATTCAAAAATCGGGCTTAAGAGATCGATAGAGAATTTAATTACGAAGATTTAGAAAAAAAGAAAAATCGTTTTGGTAATAAATTGTTACCTGTAGAGTGATTTGAAACGAAAAAGTACATTTTTCGCCACTGTGGGGCTCTCAGAAATGGGGGTTTACATTACACAGATCCAACCTATCAGGTGTTACGTTACAACACGAATTTAATTATGAAGATTTAGAAAAAAAGAAAAATCGTGTTGGTAATAAATTGTGACCTGTAGAGTGATTTGAAACGAAAAAGTACATTTTCGCCACTGTGGGGCTCTTAGAAATGGGGGTTTACATTACACAGATCCATAATCTATCAGGGGTGTTACGTTACAAAGGTTCTACATATAATACATATAGGGCAAACTCAATCTCAAAATTAGGTCTATATTTAGTTAAATTGTAGGTCATAGGTCAAACATAACCTCAAAATTAGGTCTATATTTAGTTAAACAGTAGGTCAAGGGGCAAACAGCCCAAAATTAGGTCAGAGGGAGAACATAACTTCAAAATTAAGTCAAACGTTATTGATCAGAGGTCAAACAGAGCCTCAAAATTAGGTCTATCTTTAGTTGAACTATTGGTCAAATGACAAACTTAACCCCAAAATTAGGTCTATATTTAGTTAGACTGCTCAGGTTATATATAGTATAAAAATGTTAATCAATTAGCTTTAGACTAACTATTACAATTGCGAACTTAATAAATAACAGGATGTAAAATGTTGATTGATAGTTGCGGACTTTCCTTTACGGTCAGAGCAGGGGAAGTTCGCACACATTATGGGCGTAACACGATAAGATCATTTCTCATTCGACAGTACGTCAACAGTCATTACCGGCACATAACGGCTTGGTACGCAATTTACTAGTAATATAAATGTGAGAGCACCTCGAGCTTCATCGTGAACGATAATAGACCCTATTACATATACAAACAGAGAGTTTATATGCGCGATAATAAACACCTCGCTGAAAGCTAATACACACTCATACACTTCAATTACGAATGCCACTTGTTGTTTACACCACATTATAACCATAATTCTCCTTCTCATCATTTGCCTTTTCACGCAATTATTATCATCATTGAGGGTTGGGCGGAATGAGAGAGAAAGAGGTGCGGGGTGGAAGAAGAAATACCTATATTATGAAAGCCGTGTAATGAAATTAGGGGGAAAATTATTTTCTCTCGCGGGACATTGGCACTGTATAATCAGAACTCTAATTATATTAATGTACTCCTTTCATTTATCGTGAGTACCGATAGTATAAACCGTCTTTAGTCCTTTTTGATAAAATTGATACTTTGAACTTTACTTTTTATACGAAAATTTAGTAATAATTCAGTAAGTAATACTTTTTTTAGTTAATATTTATTTATTATTAATAATTTTGTTTAACCGTTTGGAGTAGATCTAAAAATTAGATTTTTGGAAGATATAAAATAGTGGTTTGATTTTGATTACGAATATGACATCAGTTTTTTAAAATTCAAAATGGCGGTTGCAATATGGTGGGCAACAAAATAAAAAATTAACCAGATTACCTTGAAACTTGTTATCTTGGGGTTTTCGAAGTCCCAGATTACGAATCTGACATCAATTTTTTAAAATTCATAATTCCGGATACAATATGACTGGAAAAGTTAAAGTTAACCGGATTGACTTAAAAATTGTTAACAGTATGTTCTTGAGATCCCTGATTAAAAATTTTACATTAGTTTTTAAAAATTCAAAATGGCGAATATGCAATAATTTTTTTATTAAATCAAATTTAGTTAAATACTCTGACATTGGTTGGTGAAATTACATTTTATGGTTTATTAATTATTTGAAATTCACGACTCCAAGATGTGCCCATTATTAACTTAATTGTATTTTTTATTTTAATTTAAAATTTTTCTATAATAATTAAAAATATTAATAGAAAATAATTGAATTATATTTTTAATAATAATTTAATTTAAAAATAATTCAATAATGTTTTTAATTTAAATTAAAGAAATAATTCAAGAATAATATTTCTGATTGTTATTAAAAACAATTAAATTTTATTATTAACTCGCAGTTAAATAAATTCAATTATATTTTCAATTTTGATCAAAACTAATACAATTACCTTTTTTTATTTTCTTTGAAAATAATTCAGTTATATTTTTAATTTAAATTGTAAATAATTGAATTATCTTTTTTAATTGCAATCGAATATAATTCTATTTTATTTTTAATTTAAATGGAAATAAAGATCATTACTATTTATAATTGCTATTAAAAAGAATTTAATACCTAATATAACTAATAATTAACCACTTCACTGGCGGGGCGTTCCAAATGGCGTTCCACGCGCCGAGGCCCAGACTGGCAAAAACACCGAAATGGCGTTCCTAATAAAACATTATTTTTAAAGAGTGTACACTACCTTTAACTTATACAAAGCAATATTTCTATAGTTTAGACATCATGGAACAAGATTATCACAATAAAAATTTCAGTTTTTGGGATTTTCAATGTTTTTTCAAACAATGAAATAGTCAATTTTTACCACTTTTCACCAAATGGCGTTCCACTTTTTTTCAATTTTTACACAGTAAAACTCATATTTTTTATTTAAAAAATATATTTACATACAAAACATTATAATATAATAATGTAATAAGTAAAAAATAAATATAAATAATTAATAAATAAAATTTAATAATTATTAATAATAACAAAAGTGGAACGCCATTTGTTAAAAATCGACTATTTCAACGTTCAAAGAAACATTGAAAATCTCAAAAACTGAAATTTTCATTGTGATAATCTTGTTCCCTGATGTCTAAACTATAGAAATATTGCTTTGTAGTAGTAAAAAGTAGTGTACACTCTTTAAAAATAAAGTTTTATTAGGAACGCCATTTCGGTGTTTTTGCCAGTCTGGGCCTCGGCGCGTGGAACGCCATTTGGAACGCCCCGCCAGTGAAGTGGTTAAAAACTAATAATTTGATAATAATATTTCTATTTGTTATTGAAAACAATTTAATTGTGTTATTGACTCGCTGTTAAAAAAATCCAATTATATTTTCAATTTTGATTGAAACGAATTCAATTATATATTTAGTTTTGATTGAAAAAAATTCAAGTATATTTTTAATTTTGGTTATATACCTAAGTAATTCAATTACCTTTTTTATTTTTTTTGAAAATAATTCACTAATATTTTTAATTTGAAATGAAAATAATTCATTTATCTTTTTTAATTGAAATCGAATACAATTCTATTATTATTTCTAATTTTGAAGAATAATTTAATTATCCGTTTAATTTTCCTTGAAAATTTAAAAAAAAATATTATATTATAATAATATTATTACACAGGACCATACAATTTTTTTAAAGGAAGTATTTACCGGACCATGTTTTTTATATGTTTTTTGGGGCGCTGAATTCGAATCCGAACTCAGTTTTCTGCCATCACGTCAAGTTTCTTCACAAATTAATAAAATTCGCAAAAACTGACTGTAAACAAAATATAAATAAAAATAAGCAGAAGATTCTATTAAAAAATAACTTTAACACATTGAAAAATTATTGTATAATGTTAAGCAATCAAAGAAACTCGTAAATATTCCAAATTTAAGATGGCGGATCCAATATGGCGTCGATTTTTTTAAAGTTCACCCAATTCGCCTGAAACTTGTTACACGGGGGTTTTTGGGGTCGCTGAATACGAATTTCAGCTTAGTTTTCAAAAATTCAAAATATGATAAATTTAAAAAAAATTTGTTAGCCATATTGGATCCGCCATTTTGAATATTTTAAACAAAGGTGAAATTCATATTCAGCGACCCCAAAAACCCCCGAGTAACAAGTTTCAAGTAAATCTGATAAATTTTTTAAAAATTCGTCAGCCATATTGGATCCGCCATTTTGAAAAAACTTGACGTATTGGCGGAAAAGTGAGTTCGGATTTGAATTCAGCGATCAAAAAAACATAAAAAACATGGTCCGGTCAATACTTCCTTTAAAAAAAATTTTGTGGTCCTGTGTTATTTTAATTCAATTACATAGGTATTTAATTTTTTTAATTTATAGTTATATTTAAAAATAAATATAGTTAAAATGAAATATTATTGAGAATAGTTTTCGATGTAAAAAATATAATAATCGAATTTGAAATTGTGAATTTTTCCAGGAAGTGCAAAGAAAACAAAGTACCTATCTCCGAAATATTTGTTTATATCTCGAGACAATGTGACATTCAATGGAAAGCAAACGCAGTAAGGACGAATGCATACATATAGCGGGTCATAACCAATGGAAATTGAAATTCACATAATATAATAGAAAATAAATTCTGAAGTCAGTTTCAATTTAGAAATCGTCCCCTTAACATGAAGATAAATCCACTCAAGGCGGGAAATACATTTTCCTTAATGCCACGTGTTTCGAAAATATTCTCTATTAGATATAAATTTGATATTAAAAATTTCTCTCATTTAATAAATTTATTAGTTTCGGGAGTGTCGTATTTTTTCTAAAACCGCGAACGATTTTAGGGTGTTTTTCATTAAATATTTTCGAGTTGATTTTTGCAACATGTTTTCAAGTTGTTTTTTTTATTAAAATTTCTTTTGTTTCAAGAGTGTTCGAAAATTTCATAATCGCAAAGTGTTCTTTCTAATCTGGAAGTCATCGATAATGGAAAAATATGGTAAGATTTTTTTATATTACGATTAATAATCTATTGTTTATTCAATTTTTGTTTAAGTAATAATTTAAACATTCAATTTGAGTTCAACTTGAATATTAAATATAAATATTAGGTTTAATTTTCAATTATAAATTTATTTGCAAAAAAATTTAAAAAATTTTTTTTGCTTTATTTATTTATTTAATTTTTTTAGATACAAATTCAAGTTGAATTCAAATATTCAATTTTAAATTTAATTTAAATATTTAAAATTTTATTTAAAAAAATAAAAATCTAATTTAAAAATTTAATTTAAATAGGTATTCAATTTAAATTTAATAATAAAAATTTTATGTTATGTCACATGAAAGTTTTTTATACGCTCAAAATAATTTATGGGGAAATTTTTTCTTATTTGTTTCGTTCCTCTTTTATAATTTACATTTGCAATAAATATTCCATAAACAAATTTTTTTACATTTAAATTATTGTTCGCAATAATTTTATTATTTGTGTTTTTTCCTCTTTAATTTCCATTTGTAATAAATTTAAAAAGACAATGTTTTTACGCTGCAAGAAAATTTTTATGAAAATTTTTATTTTTTTAACTATTTTGTTTCTTTAATTTCCATTTATAATTTTTGTTTATTTGAAAAACAATTTTTCTAATTTTTTTTATTTTTTAAATATATAGTTTACTGTGATTGACCCTCGAAAATGCTGAGCTGACAACATCCTTTGACGGTAATCTGCAAACTGTAAGTCAAATAGTTTTTTACTTATATAATTTAATATTATTTATAATTTTTAGATTTAAAATTAAATCAAAATATTTTAATAATCGTTTACTAAAATATTTTCTAATATATAATTTTTAAAATATTTTATAATATAAAATTCTTAAAGTATTTTAAAATATAAAATTTTTAAAATATTTTACAACATTTGTAAAATTTTATAAATAAGAATTTATTTGCGACTATTAGAGTTTTATTGTTTATAGTGGAGTTTTAAGGAGAAAGAATATGAAATTTTAATTTTGGTTTATAGCCATGAAGTTGAGCATATTTTTTCTAAAGTTTATTAGTTATACGGCAGAGAATTTCCCTTATGACAGTTTTTTTCCCTCTAAACTGAAACACATTTTCTGGACGCATTGCATTTTCTAATTACACAAGAGGTAAAAAATGCTCTCAAGTACCGCAAAATAGGTTATAAATGAGTCTAACCTTTTTTTCGGTCTTAAATATTGAGCTTATTTTCAAAATTAAAATTTGTTTTATTTAAAACGCGTTAATCATGTTTATTAAATTTTTAACGACAATTTTAATTTTCTAATTGTATATATACGAAACGTTTTTAAAAACAATGAAAAATTAATTTAAAAAAAATTTTAATTTAAAAATTTAATCATTTATTTAAAATTTTAAATTCGAAACATTTATTAAATTATTTATTAAAGACGTTATTAAATAATTTATTTAAAATTAAAAAACATTTATTATGCCCATTTATTAAATTATTTGATTAGGAACGTTTTTAAATAATTTATTAAAAATTAGATACATTTTTTAAATTGTTTATTAAAAAAGTTTACTAAATTGATTATTAAATATTTTACCTAAATTGATTATTAAAAATATTTACTAAATTATTAAATTATTTATTAAAATAAGTATTTAGTAAATTTATTAAAAACTTTTCTTAAAATTATTTATTATAACTTGAAAATATTTTTTATAAATTATCTTCTAAGTAAATAAATAAATTATCCATAAAAAATTATAAAAATTTATTATAGGTAAATAATTTATTTAAAATTTAAAATATTTATCATATTTTCAAGATTACGAAAATTTATAAAATTATTTATTAAAAATGAAGAAACTTTATAAAATTTTTTATTAAAAATGACGAAAACTTATTAAAATTTTTTTTTTTTTTTATTATTTATTGAAAACTTAAAAAACATGAATTTATTTATTAAAACTGCTAAAAATGTATTAAATTATTTTTTTAATTGATAATATTATTAACTATTTCTTTGATAATATTTAAAACCTTCTTTTTTAAGCTGCTATTTGCAAAATTAAATATTAAGTAATTTTTAGTAAATTTTAATAATGTGTCATTTATTTGTTATTTCAATTTTTGCATATTATATATAATAAACGAAAATAATTTACATCGAGTCGAGTAAAATGTTGATAATATATAAATTCTGACACAATAATTTAATTTCACGAAAATTTATTATGACAATAATCTCTTTTGTAATAATAAAAGTAAGTCATTGCGCGTATAAAATTACGAGGTCCAGATAAAATGATTCACGCTTGCATTAACATTATTTAAACATCATCTATTATTCATGCGGCAGCGGTCGAATAATTAAACGGGGAACTTTCAACGAGTCCCAGTAGTAACACTATATTAGGTCAGACATTGTACTTGATTTTACATATTTTTGTTGTTTTTTTTCTTCTTTTCCAGTGTCTTTTCATTTATAATTTTTATCATTTTACCTAAATATTGATTAATTTCTTTTTATTGTACTTAGGGATAAAATTTGCTATTTACATTTACCTAAGTAGATAGAGTAAAAAGGAATGTCTATATTTACATTTTCTTGAAAGTTCTCGCATTAATTTACTGTGCATATAAATATTATAGATAGGAAACAAAAATAAGAAAGTAAAAATTTTCTTTCTACTTGGCTGACTTATGTCGTTCTTTATCTACTGACAGCGAGAGTGCCGATGATGCATTGTCAGTAGTAAAAGGCTCATTTGAACAGACAGGGCGAATAAGAAATTGTATGAAAATTAATTTTTCTTTTTTTTTTATTGAAAATTTTTCTTTTTTTGCCTATTTACGAAAAAAATTATTTTCGTTAATTTTACAAACAAATAATAATAATAATTTAATAATAACAATGATACTATCATAAAACAACGCCATCAACATCAAAAATCGACAATTTGGTTAAAATTTTTGAATTTCATCAAAAATCATCAGAAAAAGATTATCATCAGAAATTGATGACATTTAAATTTTAAGATTAATCTGATTTTTTAATTCAAAAAAATATTTTCAAATAAATGTAAGCTAGGAGGAGGAGTAATTTTATGATAATTATTTAATTATTTAATTTTAATGAAATTAGGAATCCATTGTAAATTTTTTAAATTTAATGATAAATCATCAAAAATTGATGAAACTGAAATTTTGGTTTATTTTTAATTATTAAATAAATAAGACAAATGTTCTTTTAAATAATTATTTTGAATAATTTTATAATTATTTAAACACTAAATTTTATTGCAATTATAAATTGATTAAAAATTTTGTTAAATTTGTTGATAAACCATCAGAAATTGATGACGAATTTTATTTTAATTTTTAAAATAATAAGACAAATGTTTTAATAATTGACAACTCTAAGAGTAATTTTATAATTATTTAAAGTATTTAATTTTGAAATTAAAAATTTATTAAAAATTTTATTTCCAGTTTAATATTTGAAAACCATTAGTTTTTTTCTTTAAATATTTCATTTATTTATTTTCTTCATTTTTTTCGAGAAATTGTAAAAATAAATTTTTTAATTTATATATTCCATTAGATGAAATTGTGGAATTTTAATGGAGACTTTGAGGGATAAACTTGGTAGTCTGTGAAAAAAGAAGAAAAATAAACAGAAATAAAAAAGAAAAGAAAAAACTTCAACTCTCGTCAGTATATAGAGAATCGTAATCAATGAATGAGTGGCTCGTAGTATTTATCCGACGTGTAAGAGGCGAACCTCTTGTACATTAAATTGACAGCTGATTTTCTTGCCATAAATTTTACACACAATAAATTAAAAATTTTTTAAAAATTTTTATAAACGTAAGAAAATGAAAGAATAATTTTAAAACATAATAAAAGCAATACTAATAATAATATTAATAATGGAAAGAAAAATAAATTAATAATAATAATAGTAAGAGTAGAAATGACTTTAATACTGAAATTTCATCAAAAATCATCAGAAAAATATTATCATCAGAAATTGATGAAATATAAATTTTAAAAAATGATTTAAATGTGCCGTTTTTGAAATAAAAGTAAATTAAATTTTATTATTTAAATAATAAATTATTGATCAGTGAAGCAATTAATTAATTAACTTATATTAATTTAGATTTAAATCGACAAATATAATACTGATTAATTTATTACTTAATTGATTAATTCAGTAAATAATGAAGTAAGTTGTTATAAATTATTAAAGTAATTACTTAGTAATGAATTGCTTAATTTAGTAATTGATTAATTTACTCCTTAATTAATCAATTGGTTAATGAATGAATGAATGAATGAATGAATGAATGAATTAATTAATTGATTAATTCAGTAACGAATTGATCAATTCAATAATTAATAATTTGAGAATTAATTTGATCAAGATTAATTCAGTAACGAATTGATCAATTCAATAATTAATAATTTGAGAATTAATTTGATCAACTAAGTAACTAATTAATTGCACACAATTGAATTAAAGTTTAAAATATGAAAACTTACATTTTTGTGATATTGAATTCCATCGATTTTAAATCATTGTTCTGGAGAATTTCGTCAATCGTCTGAAAACCCATTCCCCGGCAAATAAATTCTCTCCCGTCGTTCGTCACATTGCACTTTTCAAAATTTTCCACAATTTTCGCCTGTCCCAAAATCCACAAATCGTTTGTCAACACTATCACGAAAAATGTCGTCATCAATATCATTGCCGTCATTCTTCAATTTTCTTTTCCCAGTTCACTGCATCTCGTTTTTTTTGGTAGTCAATTTTTATTATTTTTTCCCTAACGAATACTAGTTCTTTAACTCTTTTCCTTTAAAAAATTGATGATTGTTGATGATTTTTAGTTTAATTATTTGCTGCATAAATTATTGACGTATTTGTTTTTATAGAATTAAATTGAATCTAATTCTTGTGTTTTTCAATCGTTAAAAGTCATTTTTGACAAGTATTTTTGAAATATTGATGTTTTTTGATGATTTGAGGTTTTGAAGAAGTTGAGAATTTTTTTACACTGTCTTTATTTGAAAATTTTTTATGGAAAAATGAATTTTTTTCTAGAAATTTTAGAAAGTTTTCATTTTATATTTTTCTTTGAAGGAATTATTTTGTTTAATTTGATGATTTGAGGATGGAAGAACGAAATTTTATTTTTTCTTTATTTCTTTAATTTTAAAGTAATTTTAGTCACTTAGAGGGCTTATTTGATTAATAAACATTTATTTCTTACATTAAGATGTAAGTTTACATTTTTCTTCTAAAAAGAACAGAAGAAGATACTTTTTGCAAAACTGATGATTTTTGATGATTGGGGAAATTCGAAATTATTATTTTGTTTGTTTTTTTTTATTTTGATTTCTTTTTTATCCCAAATCCTCTATATTTATTCAAGCATTATTTCTTTTCCATAAAAATGATGAGACATCCATTTAAATAGTATTTTATTTTCGAAAGAGTTGATGATTTGAGGATAGGGGAGAATTCCTTTTTTGTTATTCTTTCTCCTCTAGAGGTAATTTACTTCAACTAATTCCTTGTTTTTAACGTTATTCTTTCTAAAAAAATTATTTTTTGTAAAATTTGATTTTTGATGAATTGAGGATAAATATGAATTTTACTATATTTATTCTTAGAATTGATGAAAATTGTATCTTCTGTATTTTTTCTTCTATATTTCCCTTTTTTAAAAATCGTTTCTCTTCTTCGCTGACAATTTGCAAGACACTTCTTTGTTCTTGAAAAAATTGATGATTTTTGATGATTTAGGATTAGCATTAAATGATGATTTACCGCATTTCTTGCATTATACTTTTCTTTCCAAAAGTTTTATTAATTAATTTAACACCAAAAGTGGTAAAAAAAATCCCTCCACTTCTTTTTTATGCTCTGGACTAGAATTGATGATTTTTTATGATTTGAGGACACTAATTTGTTTCAATATTTTTTTAATCATTCACAAAAAGTCGTTTTGAAGTAAACCTTAATTTAATACTCAATATTACATTTTTTCAGTAGTTTTGAAAATTAATTAAATAAAATTTACATCTTTTGTGCAAAAATTGATGACTTCTGATGATTTGAGGATTTTTTCAATTTTTCAGTTTCAAGTAATTTCTTCTTTTTGCAAAATGTTTCCTTCACGTTGTGACAATAACAAATTCGTAATGTCTCGTTCTTCAAAATATTGATGATTTCTGATGATTTGAGGATAAACAATGAATATCAGAATTAATAATTGTAATACTTTCGCAAACCATTAAAACCTTAATAATTTAATATTTTCTCTTTCTCGGAAAATTATTGCCTTCTCTCGCAAAGGAACCATGAAAAATCATTCGTTTTGTGTCTTTTCTTAAAAATTGATGATTTCTGAGGATGACAACAATAATTTGTGAATGTAAAAAATTATTTTTCCTCGTCTGCAAAATTTTTTTATTACAAAATAAACGTTTATTCAAAATTTCCTCGTCGTTACTCTCAAAAATTTGACAATTCCAATATTTTCTCGTTATCAATTGATGATGATGATAATAATTTTCTTTTGAAATTTCACTCAAAATTTGAACATTTTTTCTATGTCGATAAAATGAAAAATTTCTCGGATATTTACGTAATTTTTTTCTCTTCTCATTAATATGACAATGTCTCTCATTGGTTGTTTTGTTGATTTTTCTCTGAACTTGACCCCAGTTCCACGTCATGACAAGGGGTTGACCCCGCATTGTGGACCCACAAGCATCACCACCACACGAAACACATTTTTCAAATTCACCTTTTTTTTGTTTTGCTCTAAGGAATCCGGCAGAAAATTTTAACTCGTACTGAAAAAAATTCCCCCTCGAAAATTTTCTTAAAATGTCACTTCAAGACACCTCTAATTTATTATAAATCACTGTACTTTTTAATCCGGATGTTGAGTTCAAAGGGGGGAAAGGGGGCAAAACGTCAACCACACGAATTGCAACCAATCACTGTAAATTGTTTTTAATTTCAAAAGTTGAGTTCTAGAAGACAAAAAAAATTCAGAACAATTTAAAAAATTTTATTTTGGTTCAATGATTCATCAATTTGATAGTTAGTGCTTTTGATTTACTAATTAGCAAATTGTCGATTACGATCACTGTGTTTAGACTACTAATTGTTTACTAGTTATTTCAAATTATTTATTGGTTATATACTAGTTATTTACTAATTATTTACAAATTATTTACTAATCATTTTTAATTAGTTACTAATTATTTACTAATCATTTAGTAGGTGTTCACTAGTTAATTACTCAATATTTATTAAATACTTAGTAAGTGTTTACTATTTATTTACTAATTAATTACTAATTATTTACTAGTTTTTTTAAAAGTTATCTATTAATTATTTACTAACTAATTAGTAGATGTTTAATAGTTATTTACTTGTAATTAGTAATTATTTACTAGTAATTTGTAATTATTTACTAGTAATTAATAACTATTTAGAAGTAATTACTAATTAGTTACTAGCAAATACTAATTTACAAGTAATTACTAAATATTTACTAGTAATTACTAATTAGTTACTAGTAAATACTAATTATTTACTAATTGCCAAGTAGTTATTAAATGAAAATAACTAATTACTGAATCCAAATTTGGATCTAAAATTTTTATTTCTTAAATGCATTGCTTCAATTATTAGTAACGTAAGTAATTAGCAAAGAGAATTACTTAGTAATTACAATGATACACCATCTAATAATTAGTAACTGAGTAAAATAATAAAAATTTTTTTTGTCGTTTATAAAAAATTTTAGTTTAAACGAACAAGGAAATTTAATATATGCTAATTTGGAAATTTATCAAAACAAAACTAATTAGCATTGAAAATGAAAACTAAACTGTTTAGTAAATTAGTAAAACAAATGAAAAGTTTTTTTTTGTTTTTTATTAACTTTCTTTAACTTACAAAGAAATTTATGTTAATTTATAACAAAATAAGAAAAGAATTATTAATTGAAATAATACACTAGTTAATTTGCAAAATTAGTAAACTAATTAAAACTTTCTTTAGTTATTTTTTTAAACTGAATAGAGGACTCGCAATTAGTCATTTAGTCAAAAAGTACTAATTAGTAATTAGAGTAAATGTAAACTGATTAGTGAAGTAAACCGAGTTAAAAAAGTTTTATTTAGTTTTCATTGAAAAAATTTTTTTTACAATTAAGTATAATAAATTAATCAAATAAAAACAATAAATAAATATAAATAATAAAATAAATAGCAAATAATATAATAAATAATTAAAAAATTATAGTAAATAAATAAATTAAATAATTATTAAATTTGACAAAGTGAATTTATTATTAGTAGTGATCATCAATTTAATCAATAGTTACCAATTAATGACTAAAATTTAAAATAAATACAAATTTTTTTTCGCGAAATTTGCAAAAAGAAAAAAAAGTGAAATTTATAAAGGGAAAGGAGAAAAAGTGCTTTTTTAAAATCACAATAATTGATGAATCATTGAAATGAATTTTTCTTTTTTTTTTGGCAAAAGATGTAAAGAGAGACCGCGAATCGCACCTTCACTGAAGGAGACGGACTTCCACACTGTGGAGCATTCACCGACTGGACTGAAGTACCTACGTGGGGGTCTGCACTGATTTGCTATCTCTTTTGCCCCTTATACCCTCTCTGTCTAGCGTTGTGACTCCCACCCCTTTTTAGAGGAGGACATTCCTCTCACCCCTCCTTTTGATCTTCCCCTCTTCCATTTGGTTGGCCATCAAACCACCTCCACCTTCAATTTTTCCTTTCCTCTCTCTCACTCTCACTCGCTCTTTCTCTCTCTCTTTCTCTCTTTTTCTGTGTTGTCGTAGTCGTATCTTCTGGCATCTCGACAACAAGCAACCAACCAACCATCAGCTGGTCCCTCTGTTGTCAAGTTAGTGGTTTTTTTTTTATAAATTTAGTTTTGGATTTTGCTCCATTCCTGTTACTTGTTAGCAAGAATTTTTTGTTATTATTAAATATTTAAATTGTTTATTTTTTAATTAATTTGAGATTATGTTGATTTCTTCATTTTCTTGACCAGTGATTTAAAATTTTGAAAATTTAGTCCTTTTGTATCAATTCTGTTTTGACCAGAATTTCAAAACTTTGTTTGCTTTTTGAACAGTAAATGTGAATTCAATTTTCAGGCTCTTCTGGCATTTTTTACCTATAAATTTTACCAATTGAGGCCTTGGATCAAATAACTCGCCCGACGCTCGGAGGAACGCGCAAAACTGCCAATCAGTGAGCAGTGAGCGCCTCCGGGCCACTCACTGCTACCCGACTGGTATTAGCGCGTGCCTCCGAGCGTCGTTTTCTAATCATGCAAATTTACCAAAAGTTTTTGAAATGCCGATTTACATTAAAAATAAAATTATAATTTAAACAAAAATAAGAATAATAATTTGTTTAAAAATGCATGTGTTCTGTGACAATTCTTTAAAGTTTCATACAAATCGAAGAACTAGGGGACAATTTTAATTTTTTATGCATAAAACTACCCAGATTAAAATTAAAAGTACAATTATTATTTAAACAATTTTTAAATAAATTATTATTATTATTTTTGTTTAAATTATAATTTTATTTTTAATGTAAATCGGCATTTCAAAAAATTTTGGTAAATTTGCATGAGGGAGCGTTCACAAATGATGTCACGCAATTTTTGGAGATTTTCAACCCCCCTTCCCCCTGTCACGCAATTTTTGCAATTTCACATGAGAAAAATACATTGTGTCACGTTTAGTAAGACCCCCCCCCTACCCCCAAAAGCGTGACATCATTTGTGAACGCTCCCTGATTAAAAAAACTGCATCTTTCTAGTATACCTACTATTCTGTAAATAGTTAGTAATTAACAATAATAATTTGTTTAAACAAATAAAATTTTTAAATATGCACAGTATTATTACAAATTTATAGCCTGGTTCCCAAGAAAGTTTCCTAAGAAGCAAACGAAAGTTACATTAATGTTAGACTTATC